CGAGCGGAAGCGCGGAAATGAGGCCAGCGTTGCCGCGGGAACACGATTCGGAACGAGCGGGAGCCCGAAATGAATCCAGCGCTTCAGCCAGAGCAGCATTTTGGCAAACAGAAAACCAAGCGAAAACCCGCTTCCTGGGAATCCGGTGTGTAAAGCACCAGTACGCGGAGGGGGGCCGCCCATTTTTTGGACGCCACCAGGGGGGAGAGGAACATAGAATTCATATTGTTTAATTGTGAAGGGGGCGAGGGGAAGGGGGGGAGGCCCTCCAGGGGGGCCGGGAGGCGATGGTGAGAGAGGGATAAGGCGGGAAGGGGCAGGGGGGAAGGGGGAGAGAGAGGGATGAAGGGGGAAGGGGGAGTCAAGGAAGGAAGGGGTGAGTTTGGGGCTGGGGGGACGGGCAGCAACGAGCATCAAAGGGAGCACCATCGCCCGTGGGGGCCATCAGCGCTTCTGCCTCTTCGACGCGTTTGCCCAAACGGGGAAGTACGTCAAGCCAGATCGGCGCCCTCATCTGTGAGTTATCTTAGAGTCGTCGAGGTTCCTCATGATGTCTTCTAGTGTGCACGCACGCTTTGAGGGCTTCTTCCGACAGTGTCGAGAGGGGAGGAAGGAGGGGATGAGAGAGGAGGGGGTGCGACGGTGGGTGGACTAAAAGTGTCCACACGTGTCTCGCCAAGACCTCGAGTGATTAAAGCACGTCGGACCATAATGTATACCCCCTTCCCCCAAATTCAAAGTTGACGGGTGTGGGCGGTAGGCCGCAGGCCAGGGACAAATTGTGGACATTTCAACTTTGATTTCGGGGGGGGGGCGAAGCACGAGCATTTCCCAGATGTGGTTGCCAACATGTTATACCGCCTTACCGCCATGGGCGTGGACACTTTTTGTCCAGCCACCGGAGAGGGGAGGAAGGGACAGTGGGGGGAGGATGGGAGAGGAGGGAGGGGGAGGGGCATTCTGGCTGGTGGGCACACGGTATCCTACCCGGGGGGGAGCAGGGCAGGTTTCTTGGTTTTTTTGGCACGAGAAAGAAGAATGGCCCGAAAGAGTTGCAGCTAATGCATGGTAGCTCTTAAGAGGACCATTGCCGAGCGGCGTGCCTGTGAGCAGCATCTTGCTTCGCTGGATGCTGGGTGGGGCGCGGGGGGATCAAGAAAACTCAGGGATGCAACGGGGCAGGGGGCGTGTTTGAGAGGCCAGAACACGGCGCAGCCCTTACTTTATGTAACCCATGACGCCACACCCTAATTCAAAAACAATATCGCCGCAAGGCGAACACGTGACCCCGACCCATGGGCCTGAGTTTTAGGAGCGTCCAGCGTTAAGCCAGCCCGTGTGTGGGAGAGAAGGAGAAACATGACGGGACAACGCACTTGATAATGCTACCGGCGAGACATGGGAATGCGGTCTGGTGGATGATCTTGGATATCGTTTTCGGAAACACAATTTGCCACCATGTCTAAAAATATCTGGGTGCCTGCGACATTTCTGCCACCGTGGCAACGCTGCACTCTGGGGCGACCTGCTGAGAACCGGTCGGAAGGTTGCAACATGTGACAGATCTGGTCCTCGTGCTCCAGAGGGTTGCAAAAGTGGCACGGTCTGCCACAACGTGAGGCGGGTGCCGCGGGTGCTGCAAGGCGTACTGTGTTGCACAGCCATACTTAGCATGTCACATCGTTGATATTCCCAGAGTTCAGTGGGCGGCAACATGTCATTTCGTTTTTGGGGATGAGGGGGATGCGGGGCTGCCAATGATTTGCCGGAAGAGAAATCCTCCTGTAGTTTTTTCCGCTGAAAGTTTGTTTGGCAGTTATGGAGGGTTCTGGGGGTCACTTTAGGCTGTTCCTGGACCGTCTTGGGTCTGTCTTAGAGCGATGGTTGGCCGTCTTTGGGCCGTTCTGGGGGCTATCCAGCTGGTTGCGGCAAGTCCCGCCGCCGTGCCATCCCAGCACTCTCGAAGACGATCGTTCGAGGAGCGTCAGAAGGTTGCAACGTGTGAGCCGAACGGTATTACACATCGGCCGTCTTAAGTTAATATTGGATCACCTGAGGTCGTCCCAGGGAGGAGTTGGAGGATTAAAGACGAGATAAGTAGTTGGACATAAAAAAGATGAAGAGAGGGAGGAAAAGGAGGAGGAGGAGGGACACAAGGAGGAGGAAGGAGTTTTAGGATGATGATGATGAGGAGGAGGAGGAGGAGGAGGAGAAGGAGGAGGAGGAGCATCGTAGTGGACGAGTGCCATCTGGAACATCATGATGGTGATAATGTTGAGGAGGAGTTCGTCTGGAGCGTCTTGGGACTGCTGTGGGCTCCTATGGGGCAGTCTTGGGGGTCCCTTGCGGCCTTCTTGGGCTGTCTTGGGCTCTTGGGGCCGTCGAGGGGCCGTTGACAGGCCTTCTAAGGCTGTCTTGGGTCGTCCGGAGGCCCTCTTGGGCCAGCTTGGGGCTCTCTCGGGGCCAGCCTTGGCCATCTAGGGGCCTTCTTGGGTCGTCTTGAGGCAGTCTTCGAAGATGGGAACCTGGGCAATTCTGGTGCCGTTTGGGCCGGAACGGCGAAGACGCCAATCTTTCAAAACCCTGCGATGGATCCATAATTTTGATGTTTCTGGGTATTGGGTGGGGGGTATGTTGTGGCCCTCTTGGCCCGCCTCGGGACCCTTTCGGGCTGTCTCAAGGCCATCTTGGGCGGCCTTCGGGGCCAGATTGGCCCGTCTTTGAGGCATCTTGGGCCATCTTGGCGGCCTTGGTTGTTCGCCGCCTCGGCCGTCGTGGAAGCCTGAGGGCACGGATCCACCGTTTTGTTGCATCGAGGGGCCTCGACCTCGGGAGCGCGGACCCATACTGTTAACACGAGTCGTGGCCTCGGCAGCGCGGATCCACGGGTGTTTTCCCCAAGCCATCTTGTGGTCTCGGGTCTTCGGTCCGAAGAGACAGCGCCGCGCTCCAGCTCACCCTCCTTGCTCCTCCCCCTCCTCTCCCATCCTCACCACCCACCAAACCACCCCAACCCAACCCGAAGGCTTCAATTTGCCCTCCATTTCCAGTGGGGGGGGGTCCGAGAACATCGAAAAAACACATATGGAGCCCATACCCCCCCCCCCAACCCGAAATCCGGGTCGTCGGGTTGGGTTGGGGTGGTCTGGCAGGTAGTCACATCCCATCGGCGCACCTCCAACACATCCGGGAGCTCCACCGAAGGCTCCAGTGGAGTGCCCACCTGCGGCCCGCACGGCTAACCTCGGCGCCCCCCTCCGCGCGCTCGGGGGCTCCACCGGGGAGCTCCGCCGAAGGCTCCGGCGGCAGTGCCCGCATGCGGCCCCGAGCCCGTCCCGGAGCACTCCTTGCACACTTCGTGGCCCCACGGGTCTGTCCGCCGAGGGCCCCGGCGCCCACGGGCGGCCGCGCACCCCTCTCGGCGCACGCGCACGCCTCGCGACCCGGCAGGGTGCTCCACCCGGAGTCCCCGTGCGCTGTGCTCGCGGCTCCGCGCCACTTTAAGGCGCAGCCCTCGGACGCTTCGTGGCCCCACGGAGGGTTCCACCCACCCACGACCCCAGCAGCAAGGTCCGCACAGCGTTCCCCGCCCACGGCGGCACACCCCATCACGCGCTTCGTGACCCCGCGAGGAGCTCCACCTCAGGCCCCAGCGCGTGCGTTCACGTGCGGCCCCGCACAGATACCTCGGCGCACCCCTCGCGCGTTGCGCGGCCTCATAGTGAGCTTCACCTGAGGCCCCATATGGTGCGTCCACAGCGGTTCTCTTCCATTTCGGCGCACCACTCACGCGTTTCGCCCCCAGTGGGCGCGTCCACATGCAGCTCCCCACCCATTTCGGCTCACCCCTCGTACGCCTCTTGGCCCCAGGGGATACGCTAGCGGATTGCTGGACCGTCTTGAGTCCACACACAGCCCGCTGGATTAAAAGATGCTCACCGCGGGGATCGAGGAAGACATGGCTGGGTTCCCGTTCGGCCGCGGGGTCCCGAGACAATGTTGGACTTAAGGCCAATTTCGGAGTTTCTGGTGCATCTCCCACTTATTTTATGATTATGAAGACCAAGTGGGACCCGCGTCAGAAAGTGGCCTTCTGCCCAATACTTCCGAAAGTGGCGATTTCGCTCGGGACTTCCTCGAACAACGTTTCTGATTGCGTGCCACGCCACCTGAGAATGGCAATTCCGCTTGGGACTTCCTCCCAAAAGATGTCCAGTCGCCACCCACACCGCTTTCGTGTATTGTCGATCGCCACTTGTTCATATACGGGGTGGTAGGGACCGCTTGGAGCTTCTTGGGCATCGTGCTGGGGGTCTCTTGGCTCTCGGGGGGTTCTGGGAGCGTTCTGCGGCCTCTCAGAGCGAAGGGCCGTGCGAGGTAAACTCTGACAAAGATCGAAGCGCTGAACAATCAAAGGTTTTTTAGATTTGGCAGGCTTCCCGAAGGCGTGCAGGGCCTCCGAACAAGGCGCTGCTACGAGACGGGGCCTCTGGCTCCCTCCGAGCGCCCGGGGTCCCTCGAGGGGCCGTGCCGATGGTCCCTGAGATCCGACGTCGCGAAAAAATGCAACATCGCGACAAATCACGACCGGAGCCCCAGTCAGCATCTTCTGGCGGCAATCTTCGAGCCCGACCGATCTGTGATGGCCCTGGGGCCCGAAACCAGGCGAACATGGTCGGTGTGCCACAGATTGCAGCGCCCAGATCTCAGGGGTCATCCGTTCTGCTCTCCAACTACCCAGGCCCCCGACGTCATGATTTCTTCATGACGTCGACCCCCCGAGGTCTCGACCCATTCCCCGGGACCGGATTTTCGTCCCGAGTCGTTTTTTGACGGTCCTGAGGGCCGGTAAGGGCCCCCAGAGGCCAAAAACCATGAAAAACCTCCCGTCGTGATTTCTTCCTAACTCGAGGGGGCCTGGGATTGCGGCGCCCAGATCTCAGGGGCCATCCGTCCTGCTCTCCAACCCCTCGGGCGAGAGCCCCCGCCGGCGCCGGGAGCGCACCCACCCCTCGTGTGGCGGACCGCCTCGCCCGTTCCGGTTGCGAAGGGCGCGCCGCGGCGCGCGCGCCAATGGAGTACGCGGGCCGCGCCGAGAGCGGCTACGCCGGCTATGCCGGCTTCGCCCGGCCGTACGGCAGCACTCCAGGCTCGGGCCCCGCCGCCCTCCTGACCCCGGAGCCCCTCGAGCTGTGCAGGAAGCACGACGGGAGGGTTTGTCGCCATCGTTGGCTTCTGGGGGCCCTTACCGGCCCTCGGGGCCGCCAGAAAACGGCTCGGGACGAAAAGCCGGCCCCGGGGAATGGGTCGAGGCCTCGGGGGGTCGACGTCGTGAAAAAATCATGAAAAAGAGCCCAGAAAATATGTGAGAATATGGGGGATATTTCTATTTGTGTGTATTCATTTGTGTGTCCTGGGGCCCCTTCAGAGTCAGAGCTGCTCGTCCTGGGGAGCATTGGAGGGCCCTCGTCGCCGCGGCCAGATGCTCCTCGGACTTCTGGTCAGGATGCATCCTGGGAGAGGTCTGGGGGCGAGTTGTACCGGCAATTTTTCAGGAGGGGGAAACACACACACAGACACAATTAATCGTCGACTCCCAGGAAAATAGGGGGAAATATGGGAAGTGGGGGGAAGACAATAACCCAGACAATACTCGAAAATATGGGGAATCTTTTGATTCGTGTGTATTTATTTGTGTGTCCTGGGGCCCCTTCAGTATCCTGGGAGAGGTTTGGGGGCTAGTTGTATGGGTAATCTTTGGCGCCGCAATGAGAAGGCGAGGTCTGTGCATATCCACCGCCACTGGCTCGGCCAATGGTGGTATGTACGTACAGATCTTGTCGCCCGACCCCTGAGATCTGGGCGCTGCAGTTCTTCCACACCAGGCGTTTGTGCCCAGTGTCGGGTCCTGGGACCATCACAGCTCGATGCGGCTCCAGAAATGCCGCAAGAAGATTGTGTCCAGGGCTCTGGTCGTGATTGTTCGCGACGACGATGCAGGTGTTTGGCAACGTCGGAGTTCAGAGTGACTAGGTGGTAAGTGGACGACCCTGGGGGGGCAAAGCTGCAGGGTTTTTTTCCGCTTGTCGGGCGGTGGCCGCCGGGTCCAGGGTCCTCGTCGGCGGCCTCAGGATTTCTTACGCCTCTCACGGTCCGCGCGTCCCCGCGGGACCAAACCTGCACAGTGTTGCGCATGGCAGCGCAAGCAGCCCTAGATCGCGTCTGCGAAACAAGTCGCGAATTCGGCTCAGTCACCTCCGTGGCGGTAATGGTGGGACTTCTTCTGGATTTCAATTGCCTGGTGGCGGTGTCCGGTGAAAAAGGCCATTTGCATGTGAATTTTTTCTGTTCGACCCGAGCGGGCTTTCCCTGTTATCAAGCAGTGGAGGAAACGCGCCGGCTGATGAACTTCAGGTCCGATCTAAAGTTTGTCGGGTCGAGGCGATCGTGCTGCATGTCCCGTTGGCGACTCGAGGGGCCTGAAAATGGGTCCCCGAGGCGATGGCGCCTTATCATTGTGGAAGTCGATTGAAGCACGCTGCCAAATACTTTCCAGATGTCTACGAGATGTTTCGAACACGTTTCAGATATGTTAAACACATGTCTGAAACATGTTTAGAACATGCTTTACACAGCGTGAGCACATCAATGATAGGATTGTTAGAGTGCCCATCGTCATGGCATCCACGACCCTATCACGCCTTTGGCGTGGCCGACGACATTGGACGGGCCCCGTGCGCCGAGCCTCTATATATATATATATATATATTATATATATATATATATCTATCTCTTTTTGTTTTTCTCTCTCTCTCTCTCTATATATATATATACATCTCTCTCTCTCTCTGCCCAGCCCGCTCACGCTCACGACGCGCAGGCCCGGCGGTGCGCTGCGTTGACGTTGGTCCCTTTTCCCGCGAAGCCTGCGCAGACGGTCCGTGCTTCGGCGGCGCGCGAGGGTGGGAAGGGAGTTGAGGAGAAGGCCTTCTCATAAGGTTCGGAGGTCCAATGGCCTTCTGGGAAGTGTTCTGAGCCTTCCCCGAAGACAGAGAAGGACTGCTCAGAAGGCGCGAGGGCCTCTGAGAAGTCCCGCCGCCTTCAGAGAGGGCCTTCGCCTTCTCATTTCCCCCCCCCTCGCTCGCCGCCGAGTATTGCTTGCATGCGTGCCATCTTTATCACCCGCATCCTCACAGCGCCGTCATCACACATTTAGACTTTCTGCGCGCCTTTTCCTCCGAGTGGGCTACATGAGTAGATTACGCTACGTCCATGTGGTACCAACGCTGATAGCATTGGTTTGGTTTGGCATGCCCAAACATATCGACTCGTAGTGGCAGTGCTCATAAATTCTGGTTCGCAATGACTGCAACTTTTCAATTTGGGCGG